AAATGACAAGTTTGCACCTTACATAAAACATGACCCTAAGAGGGTGCGAAGGTCGAAGATTTGGATAGAAGGCTAGTAGTATGAAGGGATACTCTCTCCGATGTATATTATAGGGTGTTTTTAGTTTTAAGTTAATTAATCTTCTTCAAATTTATTCTTAAGGGCCCGTTTGGCCATGCGATATGAAATCATGAGATGAAATTGAAGGTTTGTTTGGACATGCGATATGTAATTTTTGTGTTGTATATTTTCTCATAAACATAAAAAGCCCATAAGTTATAAAATTATTAAAATAGCCTCAATTGTTTATTCAATCTTATCAAGTAAACAAAAAATTATAAAATCGCATAATAAATTATTACAAAATTATTTGTTCTCCACTTAAGTAATTGTTTCATCTAATTTATTTGTTCACTGCATGTTCAATCTAACTTTCAACCTAACTTTCACTTCTCATCAATATTTGAGTAATAAATGAAACACCTTTCATGGGCTCTTCAAGATTTTATTACTCCACAATTGTGAGGTGTGAGTTAAAGTGACTATATGTTGGTGAGAATAATAAATTTTATGTCGGTGAGAATAATAAATTTTAAAAAGTAATGATGTGATTATAAATTTTATTTACATATGAAACAAATGGTTAGTAGATATAAATGTGGGGTTGTTTTAACAAAATATAAACTCATGGATCAATTGTTGTATTAAAATATCTCAAATCATGATATGTTGAACATAAATTGTTCATCCACTTAAGTAATTGTTTCATCTAATTTATTTGTTCACTGCATGTTCAATCTAACTTTCAACCTAACTTTCACTTCTCATCAATATTTGAGTAATAAATGAAACACCTTTCATGGGCTCTACTAGTCTTTATTACTCCACAATTGTGAGGTGTGAGTTAAAGTGACTATATGTTGGTGAGAATAATAAATTTTATGTCGGTGAGAATAATAAATTTTAAAAAGTAATGATGTGATTATAAATTTTATTTACATATGAAACAAATGGTTAGTAGATATAAATGTGGGGTTGTTTTAACAAAATATAAACTCATGGATCAATTGTTGTATTAAAATATCTCAAATCATGATTGAAATCACATAGTGATTTCATATCATGATTTTTGGAGAATATGATATCACCTCTCATGATATGGAATCATGAGATGAAATCAGCGTAAAATCGCATATCCAAACGCTGATTTCATCTCACGATACCATATCGTGATATGATATCGCATGGCCAAACGCCTACTTATTCAAATAAGTTGATTTTCACATAATCAAGATATTATTAATAGATACTATCTAATTAAGAGTATTTTAAGACCATGTAGCTACAAAAAATATTCATTTTTGCCCAAAATATTTTTTTGCTTTATTTAAAAATTATTGGTTAGGTATGAAGATTTCAAATTCAATTTAAAATTATATTTCAAATATGAAAAACATGATATAACACGTGTTCTCCCTACTCTTTAACACAGCTTATCCCAACTTCACAATCCCCAACCCCATCAATCCCACGCTCTTACTCTGTACACTCACCTCCTATAATATTTATCTAGATTATATAAATATACTTTTAAAATAATTTTCTTGCTTATACATCAAACACGGGAAAATAAATTAAAAATTCACCTTTCTTAAAATTCATTTTTCATGAAAAATATCTCCCTTCATACCGAACACACTAAGTTCTTGCTACTCAGAACTCTCTCTCTCGTGTGTGAGATTTTTAATCTTCATTTGGCCTATGAAGGATCCATATTTATAGTTGAAGTGAGAAGTTGGGATGAGAACAATATTCTTTTTATTTAATTTGAATGGTTCATGACTTGGATTATTGTTCAATCAAATTCAAAAAGGAATAAAACTACCCTTAATTAGTTAAAACATATCACATGCATACTTGATAAATCTTATTAGTTTTTCGATTTAATTTGTCATGTTGCTGTATTAGCATGTGACATAATTGTATTACTAGCTCTTTTTATTTGACTTGAGGTGCTTATCACAAATTTGGATCTCTTGAATAAGAGCCCTTCCCGACCCAAGGTATAGCAGAAACTTTAGTGCACCAGACTGCCTTTTTCTACTCTTGAACTAAACTAATTAAGTAAAAAGTTCTTATGTTGATAGACTAGCCGAACGGAATGGTTATGCTAATTAAATCATATATATTAATTTTTTATTTTTTATTTTCCATCCGGTGTCCGGAGCTCACATTGGAGCTCCGACTAAATCCGAATCGCGCATTGCAGGGCCCATTCGAGGGTGGCGCTCCCAACAGAATTTTCTCCATACCCAGGGCTCGAACCCGTATATATTAATTTAAATAAGTTTCCTAACTATCATAATATTTATTTGAACTTATTTCTTAAAAACATAAGGGTTGTTTGGTAGCTAGTTTGGAGATTAGTTATGCAGATACTAAATCTTTTGTAAATAATACCATGTTTGGTCGCTAGTTTAAAGATGAATTATGCGGCTATTAATTCCTACATAAATAATACCATGTTTCGTAGCTGGTTAGGAGGTAAAGGTTTCATGTATAAAATTAATACGGTGTTTAGTTTGCAATTTAGAAATCTACATAACTAATACATGTATAAGTTATGAGAGAATCTATTTACGGAATAAGTAATACATGAATACTCTTCTTGATTTTACTGGAAATAGACTCACTAGAACTATTCCAATAGGTCTAGGAAATTTGCAACATTGAATAGGCAACTTTGAGTTCAAATACACATGGAGAAAATGGTTCTTGATTTCCTAATTGAATTTTCGAGTTTGGAGGTTTTGAGTTTGCTAGACAATTCCTTTGGAGAACTTCCAATTTCAACTGTTTATTTTTTTTTGATAACCATAGTGTTCGGGCCAGCTTTGGCGCTAATAATTCCACGGGATACCCGTCACCTCCCACCAACAATAGGTGTCAGGTAACTCTGTCCACCAAGGCTTTGACATATGGGAAGAATCACCTAGTGTTTTTTTGTCTCCGTTGAGCAACTGCAAACTTTTCAGAGGAGCTTAATGTACTTGATATATCTAGGTTTTAATCTGATACATGGCACTGTTCTTGCTGGACTGGGGAACCTTGAAAATTTGACAAGATTATCACTCGATAATAACAACTTCAAGGGTAACGTTAACGAGTCTATAAGCAAGCTACAACGCCTACAAGGACTGCAGTTAGATGGAAATAAGTTTTCAGGGAAGATCACGTACGTCCTGTTTTAGTAACTTGACAATGCTGACAACTTTATACATGCAGAACAATAGACAAGAAGGAAACATACCTGCAGATCTTGAATGTGTACCAGTCTAGTAGTTGTGCTAAACCTTACTGGAAACAATCTTGTTGGCAACATACCAAAAGTAGTTGCAAGTATATCTTCTCTTTCAATTTCTTTACAATTGACGTGTAACTTGTTGAGTGGTTCTTTCCCATTAGAAGTTGGAAGGTTGACAAACCTCACATAACAAATTATCAGATTAGAGCACTTGGGTATCAGCAATAACTAGTTTGGGGGAAGAATTCCACAATTCTTTTCAAATGCAAGTGCAGTTTCAGTTTCAAGGAATCATAAACTATGTAGAGGTCAGTCCATCTTCAATTTACCTGCATGCAGTAAACATAGAAATCCCTCACCAAACGAAAAGATCGATTCAGGAGCAATAGTAGCAATAACAGTTCCCCTTCTAGTTTTGCTATTATGTTAATTTGCTGAGGATAACCTGGTTGGTAGAGGAACTTTGGTTCGGTATACTAAGGGGAATATCTCTATAGCAGTCAAAGTACTAAGCCTACAACAGAGAGGTTATTCACAGAGATTTTAAAACCAAGCAACATTCTCCTTGATGAAGATATGACGGTCCATCTTGGTGACTTTGGATTGGTAAAGATTCTCACTAAATCAACAAAAACTACCTGGAGTAATCAAAGTTTTGACTCGCTAAAAGGTTCCATAGGATATATCCCAGTATTCCATCAGGTACTTAAAATATATATTCATATAATCCAAATATCATCTTTTCCCTGTATATTCATCTTTCTGACCCCTGAACCATATAACTTTACATACTAAACAGCATAAGAGCTGCCATATTCACCTTAAAATCTTATTGACATGACCTCTGTGACCTAACAGTTTGTTCTTATCTTGTAGAGTACGGATCGGGAGGTTGGAAAAGCTTGGAGATGTTTATAGCTACGGTATCATGTTGCTTGAAGTGTTGACAGACACAAGACCAATTGATGTGATCTTCAAAGACCGTCTAAATATTCACAATTATAGTGCAATGCCCTTTGCCTAAACATGTCATGGCACATGAATTACATAAGGAAAAAGAACCAGAAGAAAAGGAAATACTACCAAATGAGGCTAATATATCCCAGCTAAACGAAAGCAATACAATAGAGGAATGCCTAGTCTCAATCTTGAAAGTTGGTCTTTTATGTTCTAAACTCATCACCAAGGGATCGGATGCCCTGAAGTGTAGCTTTGAACAAAGTTCATGACATGGAGGACTTGTTTCTCTGGCATGAGAGGAAAGACAACAGTGTCAAATAGACCACCACGAGGAGACGATAAGATCTTTTGGAAATAGAAGGCATATTGCTAATTGATTATTTGGTCTCCTCCAGATCTGACCAAAGGGAGGATTTACCATCAATCGTGAAAGACAAAGTGACTCACCATCCATGTGCAACCCCTTTGGAAATCTTACCTGAATGATATTTCTTTCCTGTATTTCAAATAGTTCGTACAGTGCCCAAAAGATTGATAGGCTAGGAACGAATATTGTTCTCAACCTTTTTTTTTTTTCCCTCAGTCGTCCATGATGGCTAGCTAAGCTGATCACAGTTTTGGATTCGTGCACCAAACCAGCATATTGTACTAGAAATTTTTGACAATTACCAAGACAGCTTGTATTGTCTTGTATCGAGAGAAAAACCAATCCTCGTAAGGAAGTAAAAACAACATCTCCAGCATACCAAGAATGATTTGCAAATTACAATAAGCAAACAGTCAGAAGCCGCTAATGTTATTACATAAGTATCATTTAGAAAGGAAATGTGCTCTCATGGCACACAAAGTACATTTTTTTCCTTTCAGAGATTATAGATAGAAAAAAGAACATTCATTTTTGTTTTGGAATCATCTATAAGATATTATTAAGTATTAACATCAAACAAACTGAAACAAATAAGAAAACTAAGCAAAACGCCAATTGACAGATAAAGTAACAAATTATACCACTATGAAAGCACTTGTGTTCTCCAGTCATTGCATTCGCATTTCACAATGGCGTTTTCCAACGTAACTGACGAATCTGAAAGCAAAACAATAACCAGGTTACTCTTGTCTCTTGCTACTGCAGAGAAGATTTAGACAACTTAAAATGCACAAACCCAAATGTACCTTATCACCAGTAAGAGTTTGTACACACACCCTAACCACTTGCCTCCACTTTGTTATTTAAGAAGTTCATTTGCTCATGTTTCCCTTATACATGGAATTCATCATTTAGGCTACGGTGCTTTAAAGGAACGACATCACCATAAATACAAAAGGGGAAAAGGAAAAGAATATACACTTAAAATATAAAATAACTAGGAGCATGAGGTGCAAGTCATGTGCCTATATCACCTTTCATGAATTTGCAACAATTATGTTCTACTCAGGCAAGAAAATGAACTGTTCTCCGCTTGTTACAGTAAATTGAGAATCTCATTTCTAATTACATTAGAGAAAGCCTCGAAATTTTATACAAGAGTAGTGAGAATCTCATTTATTGGCTGCTTTATCTCATCCTGATTAGCACTAACATGATAGAGAAAGGAAGATAAATAGACTACATTGACGAGAAGGAACACAAATAGTAACTAATGACGCACCTATAGCTTTGACAAGATGCACAATAACCTCAGCTCAGCTTGCAAAGTACCCCTGGAATGAAATCATCACACATGTGAACCCTGTTTATGGAGAAACAAGTCAATTTAATCATTTACTACTATTTCAGGGTTTTTTTTTTTTGAGAATGGTAAAGTACTACTATTTCAGGGTATTAATACCTTTAGAAGCTTATATTTTATCAAGACAAATATCAAAGCTTAGAGGAGCAGAAAAACTTTAAGAAAAATAATGTACTCCCTCCGTTACTTTTACTAGTCACGTTTCGCTTCACGAGAGTCAATTTGACTTATCTTAAGAGCTAAACAGAATTAGATAAATTTAATATTTAAAATTTAGATATTCTAAAACTATAGGAAACATTACCTTTTTTCTGATATAAAACTATAGGAAACATTTCCTTTTTTCTGATATAGAACTATAGGAAACATTTTCTACGTACTGCTTTGAACTATATTTCCTTGAGCCAAGGATCTATCCAAAACAACCACTCTACCACCAAGGTAGGGGTACGGTCTGCATACACTGTACTCTCCCAATCCCCACTTTGTCGGATTACAGGTATGTTGTCATTGAAACTATATGAAACATACTATAAGTTGCACTCCTTCACATATTAATATGATGAAAAAATACTCTCGAGAAGCGAGACGAGACAAGTAAAAGTGAACGGGGGTAAGTACTTCAGAATCACTTATCCTCTCACATTAGTTCTCTTAGGGGTCGTTTGGTTGGGAACAAGTTATCCAAGATTAATTATCCTGAGATTAGCTATCTTGGGATAAGTTATCCCACCATATATATGGGATAACTTATCCCATCACTATGGTATAAATGGTGGGATAACTTATCCCAAACTTGGAAACCAAACAAGACACCAAATTTTATCCTTGGAATATTTTTTTTATCCCAGGACTATTTATTTTTATCCCTCACACCAAACGACCCCTTAGTTTTCAGTACATCCTATTATACACAAGCGTTAATATAAAAGTGAGGACAACATTATAAGTTATAACCGAGAAGTTAGAGTCCGAAGAAGAGTCTTTATGTATTGCAAATCAATGTTCCACAGCTCCACCTCTCTTTGAACATACTCTCCATGATTGGTCACATAATGTTCTAATATTCTTTTTGACAATGTCATAATGTTCTGATATTTTATATGGTCATTTTACCAAAGTTATATTTTTCTTTCATTGGAGTCCAATAGAAAGAAAGAGAAAAGGAAAAAAATTAAGAATCACTACCCTTTGGCAACATGCACTTGATCTAAGACATTAGTTGAAGAAGCAGGTAAGTGAAGCATATACATAACAAAATCTTATCTCCAAACTACCGATTACTCACACAGTATGATCATCTTCAAACCAAATGGGAAAAAGATTAGCTATGTTACATGGATTTGTTTAATGGGAACGTCTCGCGTACTGATCTGCACAAGTATCCATTATGGACAACACCGATTTGCTAATTTTCAGTGTACTTTTAAGAATCTGCATGAAGTACTGACACCCTTACTACCCACTGACATGAAAACATCAAAGGCAAATGAATGATCCACATAACATAAAAAAGAAGTGCATCTGCTAGACTGTTATGCAGCAGAGTAAGTGATTAACCACATCGTTGCCACCCATGCATTTTAGTTACACCTTGAGTAAAATTTTGGGGGTAGAACCTCCACCCTCACCATTTCTAACCTCAGTGGAGAAGGGGTTGAAAGATTATCGACTAAAAGACTGACGGACTGAAGTCTAACTTATATTTCTAGACTTTAACATTCTGCTCTTTTGTCCTGTGGTAATTGATTGACCAAAATCAGAAGCTTTACTTGAACTCGTTTCTTTTCTGAACTCTACCATACCGTATAAGTGGATCTCCATACGAAATTGCAAGCCATCAGTACTATGCTGCTGGCTAATGAAATTTCACAGAGTGCAGAAGTCTAAGGTCTCAAAACTCTCAAGTTCTTTGGTTCATTTTTCAAGGATAACATTTAATGTGTATCTAATCTCCTCCCCCTTACATTGGCAATTGTTGAATTCTTCTTGTTACCTATTATTGAATTTTCTTCCTATAATGGGTAACTGTACTGTCATTTGCTTAAAAGTTAAAACGATAAATAATCCACGCTTAAAGGAACAATGGATGGAGAGCATTTAGACAACAGAAAATATAGAAGTTTTCAGCAGAAAAAGGTCAGCATTTCATCAATCACAAGATACATCCAGATCACAACAAAGTAACCCGACAATATCAAGAAAGTTGCAACAACAAAAAATTGCAGAAATTATTCCATTCAAAATTATAAAGCAGAAATTGATGTCACCTTCTCTACGTTTTCCTCTACCCCTTCTAATTTTTCTCCAGGAATATAAAGCACGCTTGTATCAGAATCTGATTGAATAACTGTTGATGAAGCATGAACTGTAGAATGGGTAGATCAAGTAGTGGATTGTGTGACAAGCATTTTAAAGCCCACTTCTAAAATTCTGCTATTTAATTTGTTCTTATAAAATGCCATGATATAATTTAAATACTATCTATAGCATGTATGTTTGCTCAGAAAAGTTACGAAATGTGATGTTCCAAATTTTCAATAAAAATTAAAGCTTGACCCAACAAAAGGGGTAGTACTTTTACAACTTTATGTAGAATCTTATTAATTGTAAATTCTACGTCCATCTTAAAACAAAAGTGAGAAGTCCTCTCAGGATCTATAAATGGCAGTCCTTGATAAAAATACTTCATGGAGTACATCAAAAGGAAATAATTGGAATAGAATAAGTCTCCACCAAGGGATTTAAGAGAGTACATCAAGAAAAGATGAACACACCTATAAAAATGAATGTAATAAAATGAATAGTAGTATTATTTGGAACAAAATGAGTCTGCACCAAGGGATTTATCTTGTGAATGAAAGCATATGCTGCAGGGAAAGAACCCTCGTCATTCTAACTGAGATCACAAGCCTACAAAACGAATGAGAAAATACACTTGAGACTTGAACAATTAATGTCATCAATATTCTGTTTAAAAAGTCTGTGTCCACTACCTTGAAGATTGACATAAATTCTCCAAGTGTTCCCTTACTCTCCAAAATCTGCAACCTGTAAAGAGAAAACATCATCAGTGGTCAAAAAGATCAAGAAAGTCATGCGAGCTTCAGGCAGGGGGGGGGCGGGAAGACAACTATGGCATTGAAAGAATCACAAGTCAAAGTATTAGCTAAGTTTTCTTTGCAGATGGTTAAAAGAAAGTGCCGTTATGCATAAAACAGTCGTTTACCTTAACCATGGCAGAAAAAGAAGAATGTTTGATCAAACTGGCACGTATTCTGCATGAGCAATAGGATATACCTTGCAACAGGAAAGATGAGCAAAGTTCTTTTGGAAATAGTCAAAGGACAGGATCAAAGTTTCACCTTTCGTTTCCTAAAGAAGTCCTTCACAAAGTTCTTCTTCAGAAGACGAATCCTCTGTAGATAAATGACCAGTGTCTTTCATTTGCCTATTCAACCCTCCCAGTAGACAATAAATTTCATTGGTTTGGCCACTGGAGATATCTGCAACCAAAAAGGGAGAAAAGCCAGAACCCGTATCGACCCAAGCACATCCTGGAGATTTTCTTACACCGAAATCCCGCATCACAGTCCTCACTTTTGCCAGTTTGTTCCAACACCCAGCATCCGCATACATATTAGCAATCAACACGTAGTATCCAGGATTAACAGGCCTCAGCTCCAGCAGCTTCTCAGCTGCCCATTCCCCTATTTCAGTATTCCTATGAATCTTACATGCTCCAAGGAGAGTTGCCCACATTTCAGGTGTTGGTTCATAAGGCATCTTTATGATAATTTCCTCTGCCTTTCTAAGTAGACCAGCCCTACCAAAGAGGTCAACCATGCAAGAGAAGTGCTCCAGATGAGGACTTAAACCATGAATACTTTGCATCTTTTCAAATAGTTTCTGGCCCTGCATCACAAGGCCTGAATGACTACAGGCTGACAAAGCAGCAACCATGGTCACATGGTCTGGTTTTATATGGAGTCTTATCATCTCATTAAATAGTTTAATTGCTTCTCTTCCTTCACCTTGAATACCATATCCAGCTATCAGCGAAGTGTAGGTAATTGCATCTTTCTTGCTCATCAAATTAAATAGATTTCTAGCTACAACTACCTTTCCAGATCTTGCATACATATCCACAAGTGAATTCCACAAGAGCAAATGTTCTTCAAACCCTTCACGCCTTGTAAGATAGCAGTGAAATTCTTTACCATGTTGTAAATTTGCCACCCTAGCACACAGGGGGAGAATGCTTGCTATTGTGATATAATTTGGCTCAACACCAGAAAGCAGCATTTCTCGAAAAAGAAAGGAGGTTTCCTCAGACCTATCCCAATGTGCAAAGCCAGATATGACTGTATTCCAGGTAATTACAGTTTTAGAGTCAACACACTGAAACAAAATAAGCGCCTGCTTAAGTGCCTTGCATCTGGCATACATGTTGATTAAAGCGTTTCTTACATTATCAAAATCATCAAGGTGACTTCGAATCACTAAACCATGAATTTCTTTTCCAATTTTTAATAAACCAGAGTGGGAACATGCACCCAAACCAATAAGTGTTGCCACAGGTTCTAGCTGAATTCCACAAGTTCTCATTTGAGAGAACAATTTAAGAGCCCCAATAAAGTTACCTGTCTTCAAGCAACCTCCAGCTATGGTGTTCCAAGTAATAATATCCATTTCAGCACCAGCCGCCCTCATTTTATCAAAAAGCTCAAAAGCTTTACTCCACATACCTTTGGAAGCATAACCAGAGATCATCGAATTCCAAGAAACTGCATCCTTAATTGCCATCCTTTCAAATATATCATGTGCAACATCCAGTTCTCCACATTTCGCATACATGGAAACTAAGGCATTCTGGACAAACAAGTTACCCTCTAGGAAACTAGCATCTATAGATTTGTGAATATCCCTGCCAAAAACAAGATTTAACTGTTCACCACAGGCCTTTAGAACAGATGGATAAGTGAAATCATCGGGTCTTACACCTCTATTCACCATCTGCCTATAGGCGGAGAATGCCTCTTCATTCTGCCCCCTTCTAACATAAGAAGAAATAAGGAGATTCCATGGGAGAGGGTGCAAAATATTTGAAGTTTCGGCAATTACATGAGCATCATCAAGTAAACCAAAGGTCGTATAGAATGTAATTATCCTTGGCACCAAATTCCAACTATGTGCAACGCCCAAATTAATAATGTGGGCATGAATTTGTTTCCCTTCGGAGAGTGACTTACAATTAGTACAACACAATAAAAGAGACGACAATGACTGTATGACAAGATCACAAGGGGTTTGAGAGGAGACATTAGTCCGAATTAGAGAAAAAGTTCTAAAGGCTTTGCGTATGTGATCTTGGCCTGCAAAGTCCTTCAAGGTTGTCAGGAGGCAATCCACCATAGGTTCATTACCTGCTTTACAAGGCCCTGAAATACGTTCATGAGAACTATACAGCAAGGTCTGGCAACAGTTTTGGGGGTCTGATTCTCTAACACTCCTCCACTGTTTAGGTATGAACTTCTCAATTTGGGACAGAGGAAGGTTTCTTGGTTGTGCACTGAAGCGGGAGGGCATAAACTAAAAATGGTAAAACTATAATTAGTAATTACAAAGTTGTGGATGGATATCGTCTGCATTTCCCACGCATTTGCAACACCAACAAACAGTCTGTAACAGCTTAAAAAGATTGATTTTTAGCCGATCCACCCCTGCAATTAGAATTATACTGTATAAGAGATACAATAATGGAAAGAAATCCTTAATACCCTGCGCGTTTAATTAAAAATAAAATGTAAACAAAAAAGGAAAATAATCATTAACCTTTCTAACACAAGATTAAAGGACATTCTACTAATCTTTTACTTTAAGACCACAAAATTCAAAAGTATTTTTTACTTTCTCAAACTTCATGCAAGTCGAAACAGGATAAACAAATTGAAATCAGATACCAGAATGGTCATCAAACGAACTGAAGCAAATAATAAAATTCAGCAAAACGCCAATTGACTGAAAAGCTAACAAATTTCAAAGTCACTGCTTTGAAATCCTATTTGAAGGTTTACCATTACGTTGGCAAGTGGCAACTACATTTCTCCAACTGAACTAACAAATTTGAAAGCGAATACGGTTAGTATTACTCTTGATACTGCAGATAAGATTTAGATTGTTTAAAAAGAGAACGAACCAAAAATGTACGTATCTCTGGTAAGAATTTGTGCCCACTCCACCCTAACATCAGCCTTGAACTTTGTTGCTTGAACAAGTTAAGCAAAAACGGTTCAGTGGTCAAGAGAAGTGAAGAGGAAGGGAAAAAGGGAAAGAAAAAAATATACACTTGCAATATAAAATAAATTTGATACATTTTAATATCTATACACATTACTTTACTTTACTATAAGCTCCTCCACATTCTCACTTCTAATATATACTAGCAAACACTATTTCTATAATAACTTCATTTTCCTGACTAACATCCAAACACTAACTACACCCCCCACCCCCCCTCTCTAAAGTAACATCATTTTCTTCCCTAACGTCCAAACACTATCTATCCCCCTCCCCCCTCTATCTAAAGAAACATCAGTCATTTGTTCTTTACGACCGATAAAATCCCTCATGAGTTAACTGGCGCAACACCAGTTGGCACAAAAGTTTGAAACAGCATCAAACTTGTAATCAGTATGAGCAATGGGAGTGCAAAAACAACAACAAGAGACATATTTCAATAACAAAATCATTTGAAGTATAACAGAGATACCATAATACTGAAAAAACTTTTAAAAGAAGTTCCTAGAGCACATTTTCCTCCTCATTATAGCCACAATTTCATAATGTTTGATGCTTTTTCCAGTTACCAAAGCAAACCAAATTTCCCCTTTCAAGTACAATTACATAAGATATTTATTAAAAAGTTAGGATAAGGTCCAATGTTTATGCTATTTATAGACTAGTTGTGTTAATTGATAAACCATGGAACAAGTTTGAATATGGAAAAAAAGGCAAGACTAATAGAACGGTAGTAAGACCTACAATGTTATGCCGCATGGAAAAAAGGCAAGACTTATAGAACGGTAGTAAGACCTACAATGTTATGCCTCTAAAGTTCAACCTATGCATAAAATGAGTATCTCAGAGATACAAAAAATCAGCGGACATAGAAGATAGAGTCAATTGAGATCGAAAATATAAAGACTAACCCCAATTTGCCTCTGAGGAACCATGAAAACACATTGTTATGGCACAGATACCTCAACAGCATAAACTAAAACACAAAAAGAAAACAAAGACGGACACTTTTTGATGCATACCTCAATGGGTGATTGGTAATCCCAGAGAGTTGCTGGTCTCCACCATTAATGGAGGACGAAAACACTGAAATACTCTGAAAGAGTCGGGTCGGCCAATTGGAGTCTTGAGATTTTATTCAAAAACGTGAAAAATATTAATTTCACCCCCAATTTCTAAACATCATTTGATGTTTAAATTTAATTTGGTTGTTATAGATGAAAAAAATTGTGTATTTACTAATTAAAAATTAAAGTAAACTAATGTTCAATTATTTTAAACTATAGATGTTTTTAATAATTATGTTACGAATATTGACTAATTAGCTAATTTTCCCTTTAAAAAATTCATTTATGTTAGATTTTTTCCTTATAATTTAGCCGAACCAAATTAATATATCGGCGATATGACCCATATTTTTTAAAAAAAAGACAAATTAAAAAATCAAAAGGCGTAAAAGACTTGTTAAATGAATACACTATAATTTATTGTTAAATTGTTTACTTTGGTGTAAATACACGAAGACAAGCGATTGGTTCAATTACAGTATTAGTCTCAATGAGTCATGAATTAGTTCAATTTATATTTTTTTTACATTCTTTAATTTAATCCAAAATTATTTCTTAAACATGCTTCAACTAGTTCTATTGTTCATTATAAATATTTATTATAAGAATTATGATTACGTCAATTTTTTTTTAAAAAAAATGGATTATAATGCGGGTGTATTATTTCGGGTAAAAAAATTATAGGAAAAAAAAATATGTTGGGTGGAATTTTTATTTCATCCAATAAGAAAATAACAAGTTATAAATGATATTTTAAAAAATAAAATAAACATGGGGTTGTTAGTTTCAGAAGATGTTTTCAACACTTCTCTCGACTTTAAATTAAGATCTTCACACTCCTACAAGAGTTTGAGACTATTTACAAAATCATGTGACAAATTGGAGGTGTATTTAAGTCAAGTTAGTCAAGTAGAGAGGTATATTTAAGTCTATCAATAATTTGGAGACGAAATTAATAATTTACGCCAAATTTAGAAGTGTTTTCAATACTTCTCTTTTTTTAATGAATAAGTTTTTTGAATAAGTTTTTTGGTCCGATCCAAACAAGTCTGTTGCCCTTAATAAGAGGAATTCAAACTTATAATACTTAAGCTCATTTTAATAGATGAAATATTGTCATCTTTTTTCTTGTGGATGGTTTGTTGTGATCTGTTCGAACAACATTAAGTTAATATTTCTATTTAATAACTAACTGTATTATTATTTATTAACTGCTAACTTTGTGTAGTTAGTATTTTTATTTGATTCGAGTAGTATCATGTCAATAATTACTCGGTTTTGTAAAAGTTTTATGTCCAACAAAATTGTTTTCTGGTTGATTGTATTCAAGATTTTGCATACAATGACAGTGATTCAGATTGAAATCATACAATTAATTATTTACTTTAAGTCATAATCAATAATAAGTATTACTAAGATTATTGTGTTGATGGATTTGAGAGTTGATTAACATCTAGCAAATAGTATCACCAAACAGATATTTATGTTAGCATTTCAAAATTAGAAATTAAATTTAAAATTTATAAATATTATGGGAAACTTGCGGAATTGTCTCTAGTTTCGGAGCTACCGATACTCTAGTTTGCAATATTACGAGATACATGTATCTCGCGATAAATGGAATGGTTGATCATCAGACAGAAACTGCCCTGGAATTACCTGACTACCATCAATATGATGACCAAGTCCACAACCGCGAACCATCGGAAGGAACTGTGTCTTCCACAACAAAAAATTTGATGATGTAAGTTTAAGCGGTAACTGATGAGCAAGGCTAGGAGATGGTAGAGTGGTGACCGTGGAGGTCTGTGTTCTCACGGTTGTTCCCTGCAAAGAGGAAGTTGATGAGATGTTGTCGTCCACCATTGAAGCTGCTACAAAGCTTCTGTTTCTATGGCGAGGGTTTAAATTTGGGTTGTTTTAACCTCTTAGGGCCCTGATACCATGAAAGACTTTCTCATTATATTATATTGTAAATACACGTTATATTTATACATATAGATCAGGTAAGAGTCCTAGTCTAAGTCATGTAGTGAGAATAACAATCCTATGCAAACTAAGCCACAAGTAAGTTATCCTTCGTCAAAAATTAGGTGTAATTTGTTCTAGATTACACTGTATCCGAGTGGATTTGCATGTATCTAGGATACATAACAAATCTCGCTTCCCTCCCTCCCATCTCGCCACTCTCATATGTACATAACTATCTCGCTCGTCTCTCTCCCTATTTCAATGTATCTGGTAGCAAAAATACATATATCTAGTGTATCTTCCTCAATATGGTAGAAGGCTCTTAATAAGTGATAAAAATATGAAAAAATCACCCCACATATATATTTAAGGGGACTATATCTAATTATATAATTTCTCAAATTCCTTTTTATAAAAAGTGGATCTGCCCAACCCACACAGTGATGGGTTGGACTAGCTATTTTAGGGCCCATCAATAATATGGATCAGCTCGGCTTGATCCGTCAAATTTCAAAACCCATGTGAGCTAGTTCTGATGAGCTGGCTAATTTCAATGTTACTTTTTCTCTATTGTTATGTCACAATGTTGATGATAATAGAGTGATGCTGAGAGGTTCTAATGGCATGCCAGAAAGAGTTACCATTGAAATTTACATCTCAATCAGTAGTCTATATAAGAATGTCTAGTAGAGCTTTGCTAAGGTTTATCCATGGAAGCAATAGGCAGGAAAACTAAGATGGTTCCATGGTCTGTTTTTCCTTATTGAGGCAACAACAACAACAACATATACAGTGTAATCCCACAAGTGGGGACTGGAGAGGGTGGTGTGTACGCAGACCTTATCCATATCTTGTGAAGGCAGAGAGATTGTATCGAAAGATCCTCGACTCAAGTCAAGCAATACAAAACAGGTTTGAAAAGGAGATGTTGAAAATTATAGAGAAAAGAACAATGACATCTGGAGGAGATGCTAATCTTTCATGTTAGTGTTGCTGTCCTACAAATCCTAATGTTTGATGAAAATTGAAATGCATGAGTCTAAGGGGAGACAGAGGGGTACAAGCTTGTTCAACTCTCAGCTGCTCAAGAATTCGTAGTGGTAATACACTATACCTCCAAACACTTCAAATTGAGTAACATTAATGTAATAGAAAAGATATATCTGCCAGAAGTTGCAACTCCTAAAAGCTACATTTGTTTCTTTTTATGCGTAATACATAAACATGATACACAATTCTTGTTCCCGTTACTATTATCCAACACTTTTTGTCATCAATATTGATCTGGAAAACTCATTGGCACATGACAAACACCATCAAGGATATTTAAAACGTTATGCAGCATGTAAAATGTCGAATTCAACATTTAATATAAACAAGTCAATCAAGGAACGAAAGGCATTGAGTTTCATAAACAAAGAATCTAAATCTTCAGGTCATTGATACCTTTTAAACCAAACCTTCTTCATGACGGGCCTGTCATTAACCGACCTTACATGTCTATCATCAATTACAAAATGCCAAAACTCTTTAGAAGCTGCCTCATCATCGTCAGTAAAAAGCCAAGATGGGGGTGGCCAGAAAATATCTGCATATTCAAGGAAGGATAACAATGAACCAAGTTTACCATCTTGTAAGCTAAAGATACCTGTGTGATGACGATGTAATCCTTTATATCTAAGTTTCACTTCCTCGCTAAGACCACGTACCAAATAATCTTCAAAGTCATAGTCATAGTACTTTGGCGGGCGCCTACTCATATTCACAATGATACCTCCATTCACATAGTAAATGCAGTTTCCTCTGCACTGATCACCAAAATCTGATGAAGAAACAGAGAAACAACAGTCGTCACCAGCAAAGAAAATTTGATCACCCAATGTATGCACTGCAATCCACTCATGTTGTTCTTCATCAAGCCGGTAAACCTTAATTTCTTTGGGACATTTCCATGAAGGTTGAGAACCATGCAACTCCGTCTTAACATCAGTATCTAAAAACATATCAACCAGAAACAACTCCCCACGTGATTCCACCAGTCGTTTCTTACTACCCCATTCGTTAAATATCTTGACGGTGGAAGATACGATGGTCTGGTTAAACAAGGGATCATACATTATGGTCTCTCCATAAGTATCAACAGCATAAAAATTCCCCTTATACACACTAATATCGACAATCTTACTAGTGGGATCTTTCAAGGTAGTCCATTTCTCATCCTCTGACTTAAAACACAATAAGTGATCAAAAATACTAGTTGCCATTACAGAAAAATGATTGGTTTGATCATTCCAAATAGGCAAGATTTTATTAAATAAATCAAATCCGAGCACACAATGTAAGTGATAGTTTAAGACACAATGGACATGATAGAATTTACAAACTTGAGAAACACGTATATCTAGTAAATTCAATTTCTGATCAGGCAAATCACCAATTACTCTGTTGGTTAGAGGATTCAAAATCTTCAATTTTCCGTGTGATGTTTTTAGAATCTTGACCAACCAGCCTGTGTGAGGAGGATGAGGAAGTTGTAAAAGATAAACTGTGCTTTCGATTAAATTACAATGAGATATGTCATTATAAGGCCAGAATAGGTCGTTGGGGAAAGGCACTTTGATGGGAAACTGAGATTTGGGGATTTTGAAATTAGGAGAAAATGCTGAACGCCATGAACTGCAGACTGCACGAAAGCGAAGGATATCAATATGGCTGTTGACGAATTTACTAATTCTTTCAACAAGTTCTATCGGAAGATCAGACCAAGGAGCCATCATAAAACCCTAGCAAAGCTTTTTTCCAATCGCAGCAAAGAATGACATATTTAATATCCGAATAAAAAATTAATTAGTAACGAATTAATTATTAACTATACTTCTTACTAATCAAGGACTAGTTATAGGATATCGTGTTCCTTGTTATGCTCTAAATCAGTTTCTTTTCCTTATTTCATTTTTGTTGATTTGCATAAATTATGAAATTAATGATTTAGATCATTTCTTTTATCTCTTCTTTTAATTAGTTTCGTAATTTAGTGGTATTTGGGACTTTGTTTAGAATTTGATTTTTTTAGTAATTTTATTGATTTTTGTTTTTATTAATGAATTTTATGTGCTTT